TTAGATTTTTGTAGCTTTTGTCTATTATATCTTTCAATTTCACGTTTTAAAAATGATTCAATTTCAAAATTTATATAGCTAGCTTTTATATTTGTTAACTTGATTTTTTTTTCTAGTTATATGGCATTTCTATGTATTATTTATTATTGATGGTGGCAATTTATTAAGTAAATAGGTATAATCTTTATAAAAACTGGGTATTTCTGTATACAGACCAATAATCTCTTTAATGTCTATCACTTTAGTAATGAATTTATTTGATACAGAATATGTTTAAATCTATATATACTGTATAAAGTATAGTATTAGGCTTAGTTTGGATATAATTTAGATTATTATTAAAATTGTTGATCTCATTAATTTGAGAAGGTTGAGCAGGTCCGCTAATACAAGGATACTGAGGAAATTGGTTAGGTTCGTTAAGATGAGGGTGCTAAGGTCCATTAAAAGTAAGAGGTTGCTGAGGATATTGAACAGGTCTAGTGTAATAAGGATGTAGGTGAAAAGATCCAATATGATTAGAACGAATGAAAGGAGGTTGTTGAATAAATTGATTAGTGTGATTAAACTCATTGATTTGAGGATTCAGTTCATTGTAAACTGAGGTTAGTACCAATTCTCTTCTTGCAAATTTTGTATATAAGCAATAACTATTACATTTAGGACATTCTTCAGGGTAATTTATTGGCATATTTTGTTTTTTGACAAATAATTATCTTGCAATGATTTTGGGCTCTTATATAAGATTTTAACGGATAATTTCTACATTTTTACGTTATGCTATTTTTTTTATTCGATCTCAACCTCTGAACTACTACAGGTCAAACTACAAACAAAGATGTTCATTAAATATCAAATGCCATGTTTGAATTATCTTGGTCAGCAATAAACTTACCAGTTTTAGTAAAATAAAATATTTTAACACATGTTTAATAATCTTTTTAAACAACTACAAGGATCAATCATTAAATTTGGTGTTGTATAAACTTAGATATTGTCAAAAGAGAGATTCTAACAGACAAACTATCATGGTGTTTCAGTCAATAGACTTGCTAGTTTTGACAAAATTATATGTGCAATAAATTTGATTTAACAATTTTTACTGGTGTGAAAAATTGCATGAAATTTTTTTTGTTTACATGATGCTTTAAAAAAAAATCAAAAATTCGAACTGTCTGTGAGGGTCATGACAATTAACTAAGAGATTATCTCTTTTGAATAATACAATATCAATATCAAGTGAATTTTTGTATAGTATGAACTGTAATTTAAACAATATAAAAAATATCAAAATTTGGTACTAATTTAATGCTACATAATATAAAAGCCACTCTAATTTAAAGTTAGATAGATTTAACAATTTCGATTTCACATGATAAAATTAATATGTATATAAATCAAAGCCTGCTCTGATTGTAATTCTAGCAGTTTAAAAAATTATAGTATAAATTATAGAGCTTTAAGTTAAGTAAAGTTGCAGATCTACTATAGGTTATTGTTTTTTTAGTGATACGAACTGAACATTGAACAGATTATTTTAAATGGTCTAATAACCTTATTCTTGAAATTATGATAATAATAAATAAACAAATTAAGTATACATGAAATAGTAAAAAGTCATATAAAAAATTTATATTGATTATTAGTTATACAATCATTAACAGAATTGAAAAGGTTGAACTACTATATGAATTAGTCGATAAATTTATTGTGGTGATAAATCACATGTAATTTTTTGTATCTATAAATCATGACTCAGTTGCTGAGTCAACTTATTATTTAGCAATATAAATATATAATTGAATATAAAAAAGTACTCTATTTAAGTTCAATACGTGTTTTAATATAAAAATATTGTAGTTTATTTAAATTAACGAATTAAGATAATTGCATATTATTATAATTTGCTAGTTACTTTAGTATATATGATACATGTATGCAACTCTCCCCGTAGATCACTTAACCAAATTAGGAACAAGAAGAAAAAACTTTCCCGTGACAATATCTCAAGATTTTACTAAGTA